AGGATATAAGTACAAGTATAAGTATAAGCAGGGACCAGTACACCCTGATCATGTAATCTATTTAATTCTTTTTTCACTTCTGGATTGTTGAAAACAGAAGGTTTTTGGAGTGCTCCTCAATCTTTTATTGCGCGATTTTAACATACATATTATGATACATTTAATCCATGATGACAAATTGTCAATGTCTTCTTCTTCATGCCTTGCCCATCGCCTGGCACAATCTTCTACAGAATCCATAATATTTATGAAATTCCGACGGCAGTTGAAGGATTAGGGTTCCCTATATTTAGGACCTCTTGAGATTAGTGATCTACTCATTATTAACTATATTTACGTCACCAGTAATAACGTGTCCTGCAAGACTATAGTTATAGGGTGAAGAACATGAACAAGATGGAGGACTATGTCTCAGATAATTGATATCCAGGCCCTGTAAACTTTTCTTGTAATCAAAAAGTTTGGAAGACATAGTCAATGTATATTTGTAGAAAATATATACAAGGTGTAAGTCTTTAACTTGAAATATGGTGGAATACAAGACTGGCCCTTTTGTGATTAAGGATGTTACTTATATTAACCGAGTCAATGCCTTTTTGGCATATTAAAGTTTAAGGAAAAAACAGATTGTTTTGCATTTTTTCAGTACAGTAAACGCACGGGTTTAATAAGCCTACGGTTTGCAATATCCATAATCATATCCGAGCCTGCAGATTAAGCAATCAAGTATTTCATGGCACAAGTTCATACAAGTACCACTGTCACAGTAACTCAATAAGAAGAGCGCTCGCTCCGTGATAGGAAGATCGTAGATTCAAACCCCTGTCGCGGCGGATCCAAAGCAATCGAAAAAGGTAGCAACTGTTCCTTCGCCAAGCGCTTGACGTGAAAGTTGCGGGTCTTTCGGATGAGACCTTATGTGTTGGCACGATAAAGATCCATCATTACTCAATGGCCCTGAGTGCTGAGTAAATGCACTTCACCTGTATATGGTGACGTCTCTATATGGGTGAAAATTGTCGAACTGGACGTTAACGACATAAATTTAATCAAGCAAAGCAACACCTAATAACAAATGGTAACATTTTAGTCCCGTGTAATTTTAATTCTTAGGTAGAAAAGTAGTTAAAAAGACAAAGTTATTTTTAACTCAACTGAGCTGAAGGCTCAAGTGAGGTCTTCTGATCACATTTTTTCCGCCCGTCCGTCTGTCCGTCCGTCCGTCCGTCTGTAAACTTTTCACGTTTTCGACTTCTCAAGAACCACTGGGCCAATTTTAACCAAATTTGGTGCAAGGCATTCTTTGATATAGGGAGTTTAAATTATTAAAATGAAGGGCCAATTCCCCTCACAAGGGGAGATAATCAAGAAAAGACAAAATAGGGTGAGGCCAATAAAAAAAAATCTTCTTCTCAAGAAACACTGGGCCAGAAAAGCTGTCACTGATGTGGAAGCATTCGTGGGTAGTGTAGATTCTAAATTGTTCAAATCATGACCCCTGGAGTTTAGGCGGTGTCACAAGAAGGAATCAAAGTTTTACATATGAAAAATCTTTCAAGATCGTCTGCTCGTGAAACCATGGGCCAGAAAAGTTGAAACTTAGGTGGAAGTATCCTGGGGTAGTGTAAATTCTAGATTGTTCAAATCATGACCCCCAGGGGTAGGACGGGGCCACAATAGGGAATCAAAGTATTACATAGAAATATATAGGGAAAAAACAGAAAATCTTTTACTCAAGAATTACTGGGCCAGAATAAATGAACTTATTTGAAATCAAATTGTGACCCCCGCGGGTAGGGCGGGGCGACAATAGGGAACCCAAGTTTTACATTAGAATATATAGGAAAACTCTTTTAAAATCTTCTCACGAACTACTGGGCGAGAAAAACTGAAACTTATGTGAAAAAACCCTGGGGTAATGTAAATTTTAAATTGTTCAAATCATGACCCCTAGGGTAAGGGCAGGGCCAGAATTTGGAATCTAAGTTTTACATTGAAATACATGGATTTTTTGAAAATCTTCTGCTCAAGAACTACCGGGCCAGAAAAGATGAAACTTATGTGAAAGCATAATTGGGTATTGTAGATTCTAAATTGTTCAACTCTTGACCTCCGGGGGTAGGAGAGGAATAGGGTATCTAATTTTTAAATCAAACTATGTAGGAAAAAACTTCATCTTCTCAGGAAGTACTGGGCCAGAAAACTGAATATTATGCATCCTTGACTGTTGTAGATTTTAAATTGTCCGTATTATGACCCGTTGAGCAGAGTGGGGTCACAATATGTATTACTAGGGGGGAAATCTGGTAAAGAACATCATTGTTAAATTAAAGCTACTCAGGTGAGCGATGTGTTCCAATGGCCTCTTGTTTTAAATTTTATTTTATTACTTACATGTACATAGGAAAGCCTGTCCAACATATCGGGACCTTCGTACTTAATTCTGGAACAAAGTACTTTAAAAAGTTTAAATGCAGGTATTTCTTTCTTTCTTTTTTCATTTGAATTTCTGTCAAGAAAACCATAAAAAATCAGCTTTCACAATAAACTAAACTTGGAAAAAACCAACTGCATGCTACATTATTGATGGAAATAATATCATCCGTAACTGCATAATCATGTTTAACTAATGCTTATACATGGAATTTGTCAAAACGAAAATAAGCATTTTTCTGAAATTTTTTTGTGTATAGGGAATACAAATAAAACAAGAGGTACTGTGAGCAATGAGCTCACTAAATGATACCCCCACCACCCATATGGTTATAATGGCAAGGTCCATGTTTTGCTGTGGCCGGGAAACCCAAAATATGTGTCGGATCAAAAAGTAAAGTAGGAGGTGCACAATGGCAATATGTAATAGAGATTCTGTGACAGTTTCATTAAATTTCACTTACTGGTATAAGAGGAATTGCGGATAAGAGATTGGTACCCCAAAGCGTAACAGACAGACGGACGGACGGACATACCGATTACAGTATACCCTCCAACTTTTCAAGCGGGGGTATAAAAAGTTTAGTTTGTAGTACCATACAACTGTACGCAAGATCAAAACACCATGATTGAGACAAATCGCTTGGATATCATCAGAAAGGAAGTTTAATGTGTTGTACGACGTAGAATTTTTCTGTGTTTATCTGTAGGTGGGTGGGAGGTGGAGGGGTAATGTGTGGTAATTTAACTAAAGGCCCTTTGACAATATAATTCAGAACTTCTTCGTTTTCCCATTATACCGGATCATTAATATGAATAAATTACATGCATATACGTGCATGTGAAAATTGATAATAATGTTCATTGGGAATTAATTTTTAACGTGAAGTTTGAGTTTAAAATTATCACACTTACAGACAGTACCTCCCGATGAACAACCCAGTTAAAAGTTCCTTGAATCAACCACTCCGTTTAAATCTTTTTTGACAAAATCCCCTTTCTAACTCTATCCCCTGTGTTGATGAATTCCGCGGCGCCACGTAATAGTTTTTCACGGGCAATAAATCTTTGTCAATATAATAAAATACACACCATACTAAGTGCTTTTTTAAGGAAGCGTATTAGTGTCATCTGGATACGTTATTTTTTTTTTTTATTTCTGCAGTTTAATCTGTTACAGTAACATTTACACTTTAACCTGTAAATTTTACTGATTAAAGTGTAAATTTACATATTATTAAAGCGTAGAAAATAAAAAAATGTAAAGTGTCCAACTGGCACTAATTCACTTCCGTACTTTTTAAAACGTTAATTTGAAAAAACTGTAATTTTCACAAAATATTAATGTTACATATACGTATATTTTTTATCTTTGATAAACACTATTAAAGTCCAGTTGTTTGATTTCTTGATCATTCGCGTGGAATGTAAATTTCTCAGTTGAAAAGTCTATCAAAGTGTGTGTGATAAGCTTTAAGAAGAGAATTAAGTTTTTTATTAGAATAAGCAGGCGAGTTATTTCTCATTACCAATGAATAAAAGAAGAGAAGTACAATAGCTTTCATGAAGTTTAATAAGAATATAGACTTTATTCAAACACATTTACAAAACTCCGATAAACATCCACAAATATTTAATTTCATCTTTAATCTGCAAATTTCCGATATCTTTCGTGATTTTGACAGATAATTCTTGAGTTAATGAAATTTATTAGACGGTACCCAAAAAATGAAAGTGAAAATTTTAATAATCTCTCTTCTGTATCTGTTAAAAACCTTGATTTTCCTGTGCAAGGAGTTCATCGGTGCACTTTATCTTTCTTATTGAAATTTAAAATTTACAGAATGACTTGACAAATAAAGGCAACATTTTCCCGGGGTGAACAAACAAGTAAAAATCAGACATTCGACGCTTGCGTGAGCAAGTGAGAGTAATGCCGAGGCCGCTGAGGTCACGGAAAAAAATTGAGCGAGTTTTTTGAACTGACTGTTACATGTACGATTATGATTATTTACTGTCTAGGTATCTGTTTCATTGGTAATGAATCATTTGACGATTACAGAGGTGACATGATGAAAGCCCTATCTTGATGTGACGTTGTTATGCGCCAACGTCACAATCACGGTTGGTTGGGAACCTTTAAAGTTACTCTCTGATATCTTAGGAGAAGAAGACATCTGGTGTGTTATAGATTTTGAATTTACCAAATAGGAGTAAATGAAAATTTAGAACTTACAACTAGATTTTGTGTTCTTAATTTTGTACTTACTTTCACCAAATAAATCCAACACTTACCGCTAAGGGACTATTTTTATTTAAAAAATCATATAAAATAGTTGTTTTTACTTTTTATTAAATAATATTCAAGGTTCTGTGTAAAAATGCCAGGGCAACTGACAATTCTTAGTAATGAATCATGTAGGCGTCGGAAGCAACTTCATTGTGTTCCTTTCTTGGAAGATGTGATTAGATGATATAAATGTACATGCATATATGAATACTTAATGCTTATTCTTTTATTAAACACGTTAAAAAATCATATACAAGCAAATGAGTGATTACTCATCAAAGGTCTATTTATTTCTTTATTTTCAGATAAATAATTTTTGACAAAATAGTTATTTTGAAAAAGCCACGTTATTTACTTTTTCCTTCGAGATTTTTTCTGTTTTCCGATGCACAATTTCAGGAAGAAAAACATAATTTCTATAACCCCGAACACAATAGAGAGAAGGATTCCACAACACCACAGAAGGTCGCGCCACCAGTTAGACGGATCCTCCACTGGTTCTTTATACTTGACGGCAATGAACAACACGCCATGATGGGAGTGAACTTTTCTTGCTCCTTCTCCAAAGTTTTGATTTCGTAGTCTTTTGTCTTTCTTGACGATTTTGTAATAGTGGATCAATTTCTGTTTCAGTGCAATTGTGAAATCTTCAGTGTCATTGCTTGGCCATAATGCATTCAGCAAAGGAATCTGATGCTCATCTATGACAGACACGACAATAAGATTATGAAACCCAGTGTCCCTAAATCTCCTCCAAGCCGAACGAATTCCCGACAGGTTCCAAGAATTAATGTTATCGACTGGGAAGTACCAATTATTTTTCGACCTTGTATGAGTCTTTCCAACTGTAAATTCTTCTATTTCCTTTTTTGAATTTAGATATTCAAGCACCTCATTGATGTGAGCTTGCATGATCCCTGAAGCTGTGTCTAAGGATGTATTTGAAAAATCTACATGTCGAAGATGGAAACATATTCCTGAAGATCTGTCTGCGTTTCTATAACTTATGATATCCATCTATCTAAAAAGGGAAAAGGCCAAACAAAGAACTAAATGCGGTATATTCCCTATCTTAGCCCCCAAAGAAAAGTCAAAGAAAACGTCTTGTTTTGTTGAATTGTATAATTTATATTGTATGCGAAATCCAAATAAACAAAAAATTATAGTTTCAAAGTAGGTTGTTGACAATTTTTTTGTTTAAAATTGTTATGTCACAAACTATTCGGATTTTGTATCATTTTTCAGAAAGAGGAAACAATTGAAAATTTCCTAATTTTTACTATAAAATTTATAGAGTGCAGGCCTGCTCAAGAACAATATTTACATATTTGATTGATATAATCATTTTACACACTATATTAAAATATTGAGCTGGAGCAGACCTGTGCTCGGTCATTTTTCATCAAAATATAGACGTAAAATAGAATTTTTCTGTAGAAATCATGGAAATTTTTATATAAACGTCATTTTCCTGACGTCATATCAAACAAATGACGTCATGGCTTATTGAAATTTTCAGTGCTTTCCTTCAAAGTTTGATTTGGGGCCAAATATATTAGTCATTACCGCATATAACTCTCTGTATTCATTTCAATGCAGTAAGAATCATATGTAAATATTATCCATTTTGATTTGATAATAATTTTTTTGAAAAAAATATAAATGATTAATTCATAAATGTCAGGTTACGAGAAAATTCGGTCGTATTTTGTTCGACTTTTGAGTACAGTTTCAGTTTGAGACATCTAGACTTTCATACATTCTTGAATATAGTTAGAACAAGGACATACGTTTCATGGTTTCAAAAAAAGTTAAACTTGGATATTATCAAGTGCAAATTACAATAATACATACGCTCTCTTATTCTAAGTTAAATGATCCATAACATGAATGTATAATTCACTATAAAACAGGAAATACCTGGAATGAATCAAATCGAAAGTAGGCTAGTTCCGAAAAACGGGAAAAAATAGAAAAATAAATCAATGATTATCAGTTTTCATGAAATGTAGTAAAAATATTTTATGTCATCAAATTTAGGGGAAACAAAATTTTTATCACTAGTATTGCTGAATGAAGGGTAAGATAATGAATGGTTTAATCCAGATTTAATCGACATAAAAACTTTGTCAGTTGAGTATAACATATACTTTAATTCAGAGAGATAAAGTACAAGTAATTTTAGGTCCTTTGACCAATAACTAGATACTGTACTTTTTACAAATGTTCTTAAGAAAGTCAGATGTTGCATAAACATGGTTTCACTAATTTCTTCAAATCATGCAGGCCAGCACTATGAACCTGTCACAGCAGACGAAGCTTAAATATTATTTTCTGACGTAGTTTATTATACAGATTTAGGATATAAAAGTTAAAGTACAAACAACCTAGACGGAGGAATAATAATCCAGTGTTTACGTATTAATTACACAATTTTTCTTGAAGCAAAAGATATGTCCGATTAGTACACTTTAGTAGAGGATTCTGATCTGTGTCAGTAGGAATGCTGCCATCTAGCAGATTTTACAATGGCAATTAGTCAAAATGTCCACAGAAAATGTATTCGTCACCTTAAACTATAAGGTACTTTGTATGCATACATTAAACATAGAATAAAATACAAATATTTTCAAATACTATTGTGTTATTGATAATTTTGACTCCGTGAAATTTTCACTTATAAAGTTCTTTATTCCAAGTAATATTTTGAGATCAAATTAAAAAAATATTTTAACATTATGATGCTTTACAAAAAGTTGATTTTCTTGCATTTTGTAGTTATAATAATTGAGTAAAAATATCATTCAAATTAAAAAAGTTCTTGGTAGAATATGGAGATAACGAACTGTATTCAAGATCAAAAGTCCATAAAACAATACAAAATAGGAGCAGAGCAAATACGGACCTCCAAAACATCAGAGGTGGGATCAGGTGCCATGGAGGAGTGAGCATCCCCTGCCGACCGGTCACACCCGCCGTGTGCTCCGTGTCATGATCAGGAAATAACGGGAAAAATCCGTCGTCAATTCAGTATATAAATAATGGACTAACAATTGGTATGAAAAACGTCAGTCAGCATTTGACTCAATGATAAATTGTATTTGCTGACAAGGTCATTGTATCGACCATAGAACTTACGAAATGATGACTTTAAACGAGACTGCTGATATTCTTGTTTCATCAACTTGCTTGTCAATAATTTACCTCGTTTTAGAAATTGTTCATACGTAGAGCATGCTCTTGCATATCGAATCAACAGAGATATATATACTCCGTATGCAGGTGATGAAGGTATATTGCTGCATAAGTAAGGGAAATTGACGATAGAAAAGTTAAAGTCATCACGTTTATCATATAGTTTGGTTGTTAGATTACCATTAGCGTCTTTTTCAAGTAAAATATTCAAGTATGAAACAGAAGTGTAAGACTCTGTCTTACCTCTTATCTCAAGCTCACCAAGATATATACCGTATAACTGGATTTTTCTACGGGGTGCTATTTTTTGCGAAATTCTGCGATCAAGTCTTAATCGCAAAAAATTTAATTGCAAAAAATTAGTAAATAAAATCCGGAATTTTCAGTTGCGATCATCGAAGTTCTACTTTACAGATACCGGAAGTATATGTAAATAATGCCATTGCACGTTTTCAATCGTATTTTACAGGTAATTTAACAATGATTGTTTTTCGAATAAATAAAACGAATTCCTAAAGATTCAATATTTATTTGTTCCTACATAGTATTTCATGATTTATTAATATGAAACCCTAATAGCAATTGTCGGTTTGGCTTTTCCGCGGCTTGATCGGGTCCTTAATTCACACCAGTGTTTACCAGATTTTTCTTAATCGGTATTCTGCCCTTGAGAAAAGAATTTCTTGTGTAATATTTCCCCTGCTGGGATTATATAAACTCTTTATAATAATAAATGAAAGTTCATAGTCTATGGGAACTTACTGAAACGAATTTCTATAAATTAATTTCAAAAAATTACCGTCTCGGTTTCAATTCAAAATAATTGTGACTTTGTTTCTAATTTACCCTGTGAATAATAACCCATTAATTACAACAACACACGGACTACCCACAGGTGTAGTATCATCTATGTAAACACCCAATTAACAGCCCAAGTCCTTCAGTCCAGACTGCATCTATTTTACGCTTGATTGGCGTGTATACAAGCGCAATCAAAACTTCGAGAGATAGAGAGTAAAATTCAATGAAATATGTGTAACAGGACCCAGGTTTTGGTTCGAGAGAATAAATAGACTTGATTGACAAAGTGAAATCGCAAAAATTAAAATCGCAAAAAATAAATATACCTATTTCAGGATCAAATCGCAAAAATTTGCACCCGCATTAAAAACCAGTTATACGGTAGTATCGACGTAGGAATGGAAATTAACATTGTTAAATGACAATACGTCGGCGATATATCTAAATGTAGAGTTGAAGGCCACAGCAGGTGTTTTCTTCTTTTCACGCATAAGATTTTGCATATATTCTGCTTCATATGAATATAAAAATAAGTCTGCTAATAACGGAATGCAATTTTATACCCATGGTAATTCCAATAGATTGTTGAAATACCTGGTCTCTAAAAATCACATAGATATTGTCAATCAGAAACTGAAGCATCTTCTTGATGTCAACTTCAGAGTACTTATGTGTGCAATCAGAATCTGTGTTAACAAAATAATTTTGCAAATGACTAATGACGAGGTAAGTAAATTGACGAGTTCCATTTTTATTGAAGAAGCAGCTGTCAATGATATCAAAGCCTGGATTTTAATTTGTCGTGGGGAATTGTTGTGTATAAAGTTGAAAAGTCGTAAGTTTTTAAGCTGGTGATTTTTGTAAGGTCTTGTGATTTCAATTTGTCCAAGAGTTCCTTAGAATTTTTTAGAATCCACCACTGATTCACACCACTTCTTGATTATATAGTTGCACAGTACTCTTGAAGTTTTTCCTTCACTACTGTCAATATCTTAGTGAGGAGTAACGATCGAGGCTTAGTTGAACATTTACTGGAACCTGCAATGTATCGTTGTTTGTAAGGATTCTTATGAAGTTTCGGAATCAAATATATATAAGGTAGTATTGGTATAACCAATATCAGAAGTGACATACGGGTATTACATGTAAATGAAGCAGATCAGCATACTCTAACACTTAACTGTCATAATTTCTTATGTATTTTAAAATATCTGCATTCAAAATGCCTTAAAGTCAAACATTTACTAAGATTCCCGATTTAACAGATCAGGTATTGCATCCAATATGACCTGCAGTGGATTGGTTCATTTTTTGTCGATTCTCATAAAAGAACATGTACTTTACCTAGTTATCACACGAAGAAACAATGTTTTTTGTATTGAGAAAGTCATATTCTCTTCCTTGGACACAAAGATATAACTTTATCGTCAAGGAAAATATTTCAAACTAGCTACTTTAATTAATAAATATCAATGTTTTGAAATTAGTTTCCTTTTATTTAAAAAATATTTGTGTACTTTAATTGGATATTGTATAAAACAGATTTATTGAAGGAAGGATTTTGAAAGTGTCCGTTTTTTAAAAATCAGATTATTATTATTCCCACTACTGACTTTGAAATATATTCCAAGGACAAGGTTTCAAATTTCTCAAATTATGTATTTTCATTGTGAAAGAATAAGAATGAACATGTGTTTAAGTTGATGCGAGATGCGTAACAGCGTAAAACCAACAGGCAATGCTAATATCAGTTTGTATGAAACATTTCATTTTGAGTGACCTGCATACACTTAAAATTAATTTTAAAAAAGCCTTAAAACATCAGGGAAACACAAATGTTTCCGTAGTATTTACAAGGAGCAGGTAAAATAATTGGACTATTACTTCAACAAAAATTGCTTTTACAGGCTTTAAACCCTGATAAAAAAAACTCATGGATGTAGATTTAATAAACAACAGCCTAAGGGAGAGAACCAAGCAAAATCTCATAGATATAGATATTATGAAGAGAAAATGGGGTTGGATAGATCACACTTTACGCATACACACAAACAACATAACAAAACAAGCTTCGGATCGGAAACCATAAGAGGAGGGTTGGAAGACCCAGACAAACCTGGAAGAGATCCGTGGAAATGAAGGCAAAAGAGGAAGGTTTTGCCTGGACCCATTTAAAAAGCATATAGCTAAAAACAGTGTCCGATGGCGGGGTGTAGTTGTGGTCCTATGATCCCCAAGGAGCGAACAGGAATAAGTCAATTATTTTAACCAACTTGGAATTTTTTTCAATTGTATGCAATTTACTAGCCAGTTTCTAAACCTCTATAGTAATAAAAAGAACTATTGACTAAAAACGGTGAAGTCAATATATTTTCATTTCATGATCTAATAACTTGATATTTTTTAGTTAGCAAATCAACTAATTTTGAAAGCCCTTTCCATGTCCAGTACTAAGAGACAGACATTCCTTTTAATTTAATCATGTTTATGATAGCAAACTTTTTTCGTTTTAGTATTTTTGCGGAGAATTTACAGAAAAGTTTCAGCTGAAGAATGGTTGTCGGCTTATAATATGATACTATATATTTGATGTTCCACCACAGAATACAAATTTATTTTTACATAACGCACTTTTAACCATTTTCCTGACATCTTTTCAAATACAACTATTTGTAGATTTTGAAGGAATTTTGCTGACCAAAAATTGACACGCAAATAATTTCTTTTGAATAATAAGCAAGTAAACCCCAATTTTATCACGGGAACACCGATGCATTAATAAAGAATTAGAAAGAGCCAATCTTATTACCTTGAATCTTAGATAACCAAAAGATAGCAAAATTTTTAACGAATTACCGATAAAAAATCTAAGTTGATATT